CTCCGTGTCGGGGGCGGTGCCGCTGAGGTCTTCATCCTGGCGGACGCAGCTGGAGAGCGCTGGGACCGGTCGCGGGTGCAAAGAAGGGGCGGCGGCTTGAAGGCGGCCGAGGGAATTCGCTTGGGAAGGGAGAGCGAGTGAAGAGGATGGGGGCGTCACTTGAAAAATCTGCTCTGGAGCAGAACCGGTAACGCTAACGCAGGCGAACCTGCAACGTTTTGCATGCCCAAAGTGCACCGTCCGTATCAATGAAAACAAATCGTAAAGCTTTTGTGTGATAAGGAGGTGGGTTTTGCCTGTTTGGCATGTGGTTTGAGTTTGCCTCTTGACGTCTCATCTTTGACAGGATCGCGGTTGCAGGGCTCGTTAGGGAAAGGCAGTTTTCAGTTTGGAGTAGAGACTTGGGAAAGATCCAGCACTGAACTATCCTGAAGTACTGCATGCTCACTTGGAGACTGCAAGGATATTTGGGGGAATAAAGCTGGAGTAAGGAAAATGGGTATTTATTTGCATACTGTATTTCATCTTAAGCGTGGTCAGAATGTTATTCTGACTAACTGTCCAGAGTTGCTGGTAGCTATTGCAGAAACTTAGTAACGGCATCTCTGCTAGGGGGTAATTCTCTTAGAAGTACAAGCTACGTATACTGACAAGAGGAACAAATGATGATGAGAATGCAGAATGTGGCAATGTAAGCAACCACACTGCATATTCTCTGATTAAAAATGTTCTTAAAAAAAAAAATTGACCTCTTAGCATTGAATAATATTTTACTTCTATGGGTGCAAATAATGCAGAGCTTGAATAAATAACTTGCCTGCCTGCCAATTTCTATTTTAAAAATAGCTGCATTAAGGGTGTTTTGGGTTTTTTTATGTACATAGTGTGTTTCAGGAAACCATATGTTTGCAGTGTTATATGAAATGTTGCTGGTGAATTTAGATTATTATGCTATCAAGTTTTCCTCCAGCCAGTCATGAACCTTTAGCTTGGGCAAGTGTTTTCCAGAAACAGCTAATGTAGCCTATTTATTTCCTGAGTTTTGTGAACCTCAGGAAGGTGCAGGTAAAATCTAGGGACTCAAAAGGAGGGCAGTAAAGATGGAGTCAGGCTCTTCTTTGTGGTGCCCGGTGACAGGACAACAAGCAGTGAGCACAAGTTGAAATATGGGAAATGCCATTTAAACACGAGAGCACTTTTTTTTTTTTTCTTTTTACTGTGAGGATGAGTGGTCAAACACTGGCTTAAGTTGTCTGGGGAGTTTGTGGAGTGTCTATCCTCGGTTATTCAAAAGCTGACTGGAAAAGGCCCTATGTAACTTAACCTGTTTAATTTGACCCTGCTTTGAGGGACTAGGTCATCTCCAGAAGTGCTTTTGAACCTTCCCTATTCTATATGGTACTCTTCAATAATAATAGTAAAACTGCAGAAAGACTATTTGTTTGATGCAGGAAGACCAACAAAGAATGACAGCATGTTTTATTATATTCTTTCTGCACACCAACTGCTGTCTCATCACAAGAATATTAAAGTTTTGTAAGCAAGCTTTCCTCTGTTAGCAAGACAGATCTTTTCCTTAAACAGTTTGATATTTCAGACTAAGCATTTCTTAATACAAATACCATAGCAAATTGTGACCTACGAGTTAAGTAGGGCAAAACTTGATTAATAGAAAGAAGGAAAATATATATTAAAATTGTCAGGTATTCAAATTTGTAATTGGTTGAGAGAGTAACAGCTGTTTAGAATTTGCTGCCTTTTACTGAGGAATTTCAGTGGAATGCAAAATTCATTACTGTGTATTTATCACAGACTGTATTTCAGTTGGGGGGAGGGGGGGGTGATTTTCACAAAAACCAGGAATTGCATTAATCAAGAAACTGCATTTCTTTTTCAGACACAAGAAATGGTGAACAGCGATATGAATGTCCAATGTGCAGTCTTACCTGCACAGACATTCAGATTCTTGAAGAGCATGTGGATTTACACTTAGAGGAACAAAGCTTTTTGGAAGGTACGTGAAAGGATACAGGCTTGGTAACACTTGAAAGCATTTATAAGTATTTGCATGTTGCAGTATAGAACCTCAGACAAAATTTAAACTAAATATTTCCTTATTTGAAAAGAGAACGGGACACACACATAATGAAGCTTTAACATAGCTAATAGCAAGTCCTGTCACTTGCCCAAGTGCTCTGCTTAATTATACATGCTAAAATAAATATTTGTCTATGCATGCTTGTTAAGTAAATGCACTGTATGTTAGCCAAAACTAAAACTTAGAGCAAAAAATATTTAAAAGACAGCCATATTATATATTTTTTTCTAGCTCTATAGGAGGTTTACATACATGGATTTAGAGTGGCACATTCCAGTATGATGAGTTGCGAATCTGTAGCTTGTGAAAACTTCAATTTTTTTTCTCCATTCTTTTCTCTAAATGCTTGTGCTGATCCATTAGCCATAGTGATGAAGTAAATTCATCAAAATTAATTTTATTTATTAGCATGGCTAATAAAATCCTAGAGATTCCCTATCGAGTTCTCTGATCCTAAATTTGGTTTTGTCGCTTTGAGACTGCTGGCAGTGATCCTAGAAGCTAGTAAGTGTGTGCTATTCAAGAAACTGGGACTTTTTGCTAACAGTGAAGTGAAGCATAATAAACAGAAGCTGCTTTCTTAGTAGTAGAGGTACATGTGTTATTTGCCAAGTAATTGCTCCTGTAACTCTGCATAAACTTTGTCCAATTGAAGAATCTGAGTCTCGGTAGACTGAATGCAATCAGTCCTGTTTCGTGTTTGTTGCTAATAGCTCAAAATAGTATGGGATGCATCTGCCAAAATTAATGCCCAGATCCATCAAAGCATTGTTAACTTCTTGATCAAGTTCTCTCTCTTTGGAATGTTATTCCTGGGTAGGTGGACACATAAGAGATCTAGAGCTGGCTCAGCGACTCCAAACTGAGGAAGATAAATGGCAGAGATCAGAAGAAGAGAAGCGAGAGAAGGAAGAATTTAAAAAGCTGCAAGTACTGTAATATTTCTGTATGGTAAAATTTTGAACAGTTGTGCCATTAGCAGCAGAGTACCTTGGAACTGTTATGACCTGGAACGGACATACTGGGTCAGACCTGTGCAGTCAGACAGGCAGTGTTGAGGTGGTGGTGCAGGAGTGGGTTGCGGCCAAACACAAGCTCTCAGCAGCCCTGATCCTGGCACAAGTGCGGGGCAAGCCTGCTTTGAGCTTCTTGGCTTTACTGCTTTGAGTGGTGCTGGTTCAGGATGGGGCTGGGTGCTCCCTGTGCATGCCAAACTGCTCTGACCGGGGACCCTGGTACACCTTGCTGTCTTGCACTGTGCTCTGCCCAGCTCTAGTGCTCTGCCTTGCAGTGCAGCCTGGGCCATATTCCTTGGCAGAGTGCCTGAGAGCCTGAGCATCCTGACTATCCTCTTCCTGGATACCATCACCTGCTCCAGTGACCACTACCCCACTAGGTGTTGCTTCCCTCCCTCCCACCGGGCAGCCGTGATAGCTCATTTCCCACTCCCGCCACCTCCTGGCCATTGACTGCCTCTGTGCCAATGGCTGCCTGCCCAAGAGGGAGCAGAGGGATGCACCTGTTTTTCCAGGTGTGGCTTTCCTTGTCCCACATTCCTATTCAGGAATGAAGCTTGGCCTTCAGCTTTAAAATATCATAAATCTGAAGGTTTTGTGTTGTGTTTCACTATTTTTCAAAGTTACTGGTTGCGCATGAAGCTTCTCAAAAGCAAAGGTGAATTTAAAAAATGTGATTTAAATCATGCATGTTCCATCCCTAACAGAGACAGTATGGGTTGGATAATTCTGGAGGCTACAAGCAGCAATTCCTAAAGAATATGGAAAGGGAAGTTGATAGAGGAAGGTTGCAGCCTTTTGAATATCACAAGAGAAAAGCTGACATGATGGAATGCTTGGCTTCTGGTATAGATGATGGGAAGACAAAGACCTCAGGTAAAAATGTTGAAATTATACAACTAAGCCTGTACTTTTTAGACCTAGGTTGTAGTGACCAAACCTGTCTTTAACAAGGCATATAGCTGGATGTTTAATATTGGTTACATCCGTATTCGTATCCTTATTTTCTAGATCAATTTATACCATTTTAGTCTTAAACTAACAAGGAAACTAAAGCTTGGTATGTTTCTAGTATTTATTCTACCCTGAAGACTCTTTTTCTTTTTTTCTTTTTTTTTTTTTCTATGAAACCTTGGAACCAAGTTGTCTGGTTAAGGACCCTAATACAGTATGTATCAAAAAAATGCAAATGTCTTACTACAAGTTGTTTGACCTTGAGTGGATGCTTGTTTACACCTAGTACTCGTTGGTTCCTAACCTAGTGTAGCTATTAAAATTTACAGTAGCTTTGTATCTTGTGTTTCAGTTAGTTGTAGTATCATGCAAGCTGCTCCTGGGTAAGCATAATGTTCATCTGATTACAGAGTCCAAGAGAGGACTGGGAGGAGTAGACATCTACTTGATAAATCTTTGAAATATTTTGTAATTGGTATGAAAATGCAGCGCTGATGGCTTTTCTGTGTCCCTTTCAAAAGGCTTCTTTTTCTTTATTTGCTAAGACCACAGATCAAAGGTCTTTTAGCTTATTTCTTGTGGCTCTAGCTTACAAAATAACCGTTTGGTTCTTGACAGGTAAAATAAAATTTCTTCTATAAGATATGTTGAGTGGAAATAATACATTTAAAGTTTTCATTCTTGGTAATGATTTTGACTTGAGAGAGGAATCCGAGATGGCTATGGAACGATTGTCTTCACAATATCATGGCAATAAAAGGCCTTTGAGAATTTACATATACAAATTGGAGAGAGCATTCCCAAGTGTGTTCTTTCATGTAACAATGGAGGATTTGGAATATCCTGCAAGTGGATTTTTAGAAAATATTTACAGTAGTTCTTAGATTCTGTGCCATACCTTTTCTTGTCTTAGTTCCTCCAGAAAAAATAACGTGGGGGAAATAGAAGGATTACGTAATATGCATAAGTATTTCCACGTTTTTAAGGGGATGTTGTACTGGAGGTGCAGTGGCATAGAAATGCTTTATCAGTGACGTTACTTTTCCTGTTTCATTGTAATAGTTCCTGTGCATATCACAGTTTATAATGTAGTCCAAGCTGTTCAAATTAAAACATTCATTGTGTAGCAGCAGTGGAAAAAATAGCTTGCATTGTGAAAGCTTTTTAGTACATAAATTCATCAAAGTCAAGACCGTGGATGTGAAATAGGCGCAATGTCCACTGGTTTTGTGATGCGAGTTCTATATGTAATGTAGGCTCACTTAGAAGTTTTAAAATAAATTGTTTCAACCTGTGTCTGTTCCAAGCTGGGGAAAGAATTTTTTTCTGTCAAATTTTGTAGCTCGTTTTACAGATAAACTTTATATTTGGTCATCTTTTAGGAGTCATTGAAGCATTGTGCAAGTACTACCAGAATGAAAACAAAGATGTGAGGCATGTATGGCTTTCAACGGGAGTAGATCACTTCCACTCATCTTTGGGCGACAGAGGCTGGGGTTGCGGTTACAGGAATTTCCAAATGCTCCTTTCATCGCTGTTGCAAAACAGCTTGTATAATGACTGCTTGAGAGGTATTAAACAAAACGCTGCCTATTTGCTTCGTGTACCTTGGATGATGACCTACTGACTGATGCTTTACCTTTCTGTTTACACAGCAAGGCTTACTAGTTCAGTGATACCTATTAAATGCTTGTTATACCACTGCTACTTACTGTGGAAGGAATCAGAGGGGTGAATACCGGCAGGGCATGATGTGGTTGAAGTTTTAGCTTTAGTTTTTTTGGTGCATCTTTAACATTAACTGCCTCTTATAAAAGAAGCTGAATATTTTTAATTAATGGACTATTTTAGTAACTGTAACCACAATTCAAAAGCTTTTTCTGTTCCAGATACTACACTAATTCCTAGTATACCAAAGATTCAGTCCATGATTGAAGATGCCTGGAGAGAAGGCTTTGATCCTCATGGGGCGTCTCACTTCAACAACAGATTACATGGTTCCAAAGCATGGATAGGAGCATGTGAAATTTATTCACTGTTAACCAGTCTCAGGATAAAGTAAATAATTGTGCTTTGTTGTTGTTATTTTTAAGTGCTGTACCTTTAAAGGTCAGAATTGCAAATGGTGCCATGACAAAGCCACATTAGTGGCTTTAAATTTAACCAGCCTATAAACAGATCTGGTTTAGCGCAGCATAAAGCTGTGTAACAACTACTTATGCAGGTACATAAATTGAAAAACTACTTAGATCATTGAGACTTGGTGAAGAATTATGCCACATAACGCAAAAAATCAAACATTGCTTAAAAACTTAATTTCTCTAGAAGTTTCTTCTCAAGAAGAATCTGAATTTCAACTATTCACTTGCATAATTCTGAAAGCTGTTAATTGGATTCTGTAGTATATGTGTATCATTTGTACAGAAAAATCAAACCTTTTAATTCTTGCTTGCTTCACAAGATCTTGTTAGACTGAACAGTGTTTCTTTGTTACAGAACAAATCTTCTAGTTCTGAATAGTATATATTGCATTACTTTGTAATTATGACCCCTACTCCTGTATTTTAAAAAAAAAAAAAAGTGGTAACAACCACTTGATGCCTGGAATTGCTGTGTTTTACAAAACATTCTTGATGTGGGAGGAAAGGACGGAGGTGAAAAAGTTATTTTTAACAACCAACCTGCTTGAAATTTTATTGTTTTTTTCATTCTGAATGTTCTGTAGGTGTCAAGTCATTGACTTTCACAAACCGACTGGCCCTGCGGGTACTCACCCTCGTTTATTTGAGTGGATTCTGCATTACTATTCTAAAGATAATGAAGGTGGTGCAAAGGTAGTGTGTACTTCCAAACCACCTATCTACTTGCAGCATCAAGGTCAGAATCACAATATGCTGGTTTCTTTCTATTCTCTATCTTTTGTTATATGTGCTGCAATTCAGAGCAGTGTGTAACTTTCCTTCTTCATTTAATTGAAGGAATGGCTTTATTTCCTGTTATTTTTTTATTTAGTAAGAACAACGTTAAAGTTCATAATTTTATTGGATGGAAGAGCTGGGTGTGACTGGTATCTCAGCTTTTTGACATCTGCTTTCTACTTATAAATACCTTATTAAATTTGAAGTACTATCTTCCTTGATCTGAAAACGAAGTGGTATGCTATGAGGAAATAAATGGGATTTATGTGTTTCTAAAATACTGAAAAATCTATTCTTTTGAAATTAGGTCATAGTCGTACTGTTGTTGGAATAGAAGAGAAGAAGAATAGAACCTTGTGTTTGCTACTGTTTGACCCAGGATGTCCTTCCCAAGAGATGCAGAAACTGCTAAAACAAAATAGTGATGGTACTACTCTCAAACTACTTCGGAAATATGTGGGTAGCTTAAAAGAAAAGCAATACCAGATAGTGGCTGTAGATGGTGTACTCTCATTGGAAGAGAAGGCTGTAAGTATTTCTAAAAATAGTTTCTGCCTAAGAAAATTTAAGAGAATCTGCATCTCCTTAATACCCAAATGCACATGCATATATGGTTGCATGGTGAATTTTTTTCATCTCTCCACTTTCTTTGCTGTTCTTCTCTGCTTTCTGCTTATTCTCTGTCACAGTAATCATAGGAGTAATCACAGGATATCAATACCAAAAAGGTTTTGCACGTAAATGCATGCCACCTCGATGTAACAGACTTCTTTTATGAAGCGTGCAGCCATTTGCATGTGTAAATTAGGCTTTTTTTCTTTTGATATTTTCTCCTAAGTAACTTACTGCAGGCATATAAGGTACTTACAAAGCATTCATGGTCCAAAGTTATGTTCAGGGGGTTTTATGGCAACTTTGTAAAGCTACGTGGTGTCTGTCAGCCTTTTACAGTTGAAGAACAAGGCGCGCAGATACTGAGGCCTAACCATCCAATGTCTCCTCAGCTCGGACACTGGAACTAGTGCATTCTGCTTTCTGAAAGTACTTAGAACTTCTTATATTCAAAACACAGTTCTGAGCAACTTACATGTTTGAGCTGTGAGCGTTTTTATAAATCCTATCCACATGTTTCACTTTGGGCTTGTAACTTTTTAAGACCTTAGGAGTTTTCAGCTGAATGTCAGCTGTGATTTTTGTTTCTTAAGCTGTTTCTTTCCTACACTAAGAATTTGATTCTGAGGAACTGTTCTGATTCTCTGGTGTCTTATCAGCACTGTTCAGCATGTTCAAGCATTGGGGCAGACTTCTATTTAAGCTATGAAATAACTGGTGACAGTCACCTGCTCCACTATATTTAACATATTGAAATGAGGTATTGTCTTAAATGTTTTCTGGCCCTGAACGTGTTAGAAGCAGCAATGAGACACAGCCATCCTCTTTTTCCTCCTACTGGCAAAAGCTTTACAATTCAGGACACAGTGAAAGGAAGAGTGTTGTATGGGATTTGTGTGGGGTGCTTTGGTTTTAGTTTTTTCTTCTTTTTCAAAGATTTAATTTATATTTTAAAATATCAATTATTTAGAATTTTGTCTTGAAAGCTCCCATTTAATTAAGATTAAATATAACCCCTTATACTCATTAAGCTTACGAAACTACTCATTTGGAAAATGCTTTTTAAAGTGGTATTTTTGTTCATTAAACTGTTCTTTTTCCTCTCTCCCCGCTTTTTTTTTTTTAAGGCTCGCTGCCATGCTTCTCAGGTCTTAACATCAGAGAAGATTCCTTAAAGGATGCTTTTTATTACCTCTTTTGGAATCTGCTGGATACAAAACATTAAACTGATGGACTGTAACCCTAAGTCAACAATTTCTAGACTTAATCTGTGTCTCCATAAATGTCTGGGGACTCTGTAGAAGCACAACACCAGAGTACACCTGTAGTTTTGATCTTCAGTCAAAACTCTGCCCTCCTGATGAATCTGTAACTCTGCAGTATTGCAGTCCTTGTCTTTGTAGAAAATTTGCTGTTTTCTTAGTTGCTTAAATTCAGAGCAACACCTACCACCCTGTAGCAAGCTGTGCACCATAGTTAACTGTCAATAAGCTGCAGATCGAGATACTATGGAACCACTTTATTGGAGTGCCTCTGTAACTATATTTATGCTGACTCTGGCCAATGCTCTTATTTCTTGCCAAATTTGATCTACAAATACCTATTATGCGTCAGCAAATTCTCCTGCTACTATTCACGAAGTACAGAGTCAGTTCAGTGATTTCACGTGATACAGTTTGTTCCATCAGGGATTAGTTTACTACTGAACTTCTCTTCAGTTAGCTGGCTTCTCGCGATGTATTGCTTGTAAACATGAACACGTGTGCCTATGAGGTGGATCAGTGTTAGCATTGGCTGTGAGGTCTGAGGCAGCGGTGTCCAAAGTGGGGCGCGTGTGCTCTAGGGACTATGCAAGACAATCCATTGGGGTGTAGGAAGAAAATACTTCTTTTGTACCATGAATAAAGAAAATAAAATATTTTTTAAAAGTTGATTTAATCCTTTTTTTTTTAAAAAAAAAATTCTATATTTTGTGTGTGTTTTAAAATGTATAGCCCCTAGGCTTTGGAGGCATCTCAAAAGGACATTTGAGCTGGCTGTTGTGCAGGGTGAGTGCCCTCTAAGACACTGGAGCTATCTGCTGAGGCAAGTACCTTGGGTGTTGGAGCACCCCATGGGCTCTTAAGGCGTGCTGCTCTGGCTGATTGCCAGAGTGGTGCCCCTCCAGCAGAGCAGCTGGAGGCTGGGGGGGTTGTCGAGCGTCTCGCAAATAGAGCTAGATGCCTTTGAGTCACTCAAGCCGTGGCATCCATGTGCTGTAGCTAGAGTTCAGATACTTCCCTTTCCTTTGGTGTTTAAGCATTAATCTGTTTCACGTTTAATATGCTTTGGCAATAAGAACTGGTAATCTTTGGAAGTAGTGAAATGCATGCACATGTAAAGATACTACAACCCATAAATCAATTTTTCATGAAAGTAAAAACTGTAATTAGGAGCGTGCATTAATTCCAGTAGGTATGTAGAAGTGACCTCTAACCTGTGAAAGGGTTAAATATTTAGGACACTGGAGGGTCTGAGACTAGGGGCAGGGTTCCTGGAGCTGGGGGACCATTGGCTCTCGTGTCTGTGTGGTATGTGTTCTTACACCATGTGAGATTTTGTGGCCATTGAACCTGTCACAGATATACGTCTGTGCTGTTCCCTCACCTCCCCTGGGCCTGAGTCTATTCCTGGCTAAGGCTCTGCTGCTTCCAGGCCCGAGCGTGTTTTTTGCCGGTGTGAGACTGCCCAGCTGTGCCAGCCAAAGAAGCAGGAATTGCAGCTCAGCCTCAGCTCTTCGCTTCTGTATCCAGCCTGCCATTGGGGCTGAGCTAGTGTTTCAGTAAAATGCTGTAATGCGCCAGATTTAAAGTATCTCTCTGATCTGTTTTATTCCTGTGTAGGCACCATGGGGCAGCTAGAAAATAAGCGAGCAGAAGAGCATGAGTCTCACCTGATCCAGCTGAAGATGCCTCTGCAAGGGCCCTGGCCAGGGGGATTCCTGGCACTTGAGGTGTTTGATTCCCTGTGTAAGCACCAAGATCCCAATAAGCTTTGTTGTCTTTGTTTTGTTGGGGTTTTGGTTTGGTTGGTTGTTTTGGTTTTTTAACAAGCACTCCATGAGCTCAGAGCAATGCAAGCCTAATTATAGATTTATTAAGGTCAAGTTTCTGGTGCCTCGTTTGGTTCACCTTGACTCCAAGAATGCCAGGTAAAGGCCTGAACCACTGAGGCAGTCGTGCTATAACAACATTTAGCCTTTTCATGCAATTGCAGCCGGGGCAGGGTAGCGGGGTAACTTTCAAACATTAGCTGGGCACCACTGAAAAGAAAGCAGTGGGGTAACAAAACGTTAAAATAACCCAAACGAGACCCTATACCTAGACCCAGACTATAGCCTGGATTGCAACCAAAGGTTTGCCCTGAGAGAGCAAATGAGCGCGTTTGGGCTCAATGCTGGCTGAAATAACTGCTTAAGGCATGTTGCCTCTTACCCTCAGACTCCCCTGGGTTCAGAGAAGCTGAACTTACCTTCTTTGCAAATCGTTGCCTCAGAGAAACAACAGGATCCTGTTTGGATCTATTCGCAAGACCCTGAGTATTTGGTTAACCACTTGGGTGAAGAAACTGATGGTGTGTTCCTGAAATTCCAAGAAGGGCTTTGATCTGCCTTTCTCTTCCCAGGCAGCAGAAGCAGCAGTATGCTTTTGTAACTGGAAGTAAATCAGAGAGACCCATTGCTGCTGGGGGCCCTCAGCCGCTCGTGTTCAGCTGTAGGTGAAGGAGTGCCTGTGAACCTGCGCAAGACAGAGCACCGGCTGCTTAATGAAAGGCCTCCCAAATCTGCTATCCGTGAGGTGCTGAAGCCTCAGGTGACTATCGTGGAAATTGCCACTTGGGTTCATCAGAAGCTGTAACTGTTTTATCATGATTTTGAAAATGTGTTCGTGTCTACTTCGGAACAATGTCAAAACCCTCTGTAAATTCAAAATTTTTTCTTTTTTTGTCTGTCTATATTCAATTTATCTTACATATGACTTGTCCAAATACTTTTTTATATACCATATTAAGAACTTATAGAGACTTTAATGCAAACATTATTTTGAAGTAAAAAAAAATAAATTGAGTAATCTAATTCTAGTACGCTAGTAGTATTTAAGTAATTCTAGTATTTAATTCTAATTCACATTGCTTTATAGATAGGCATTTTTAGATGAACTGTTCCTAATAGAAGGTTGCAGCAAAAAAACGTGGATTTTGGTGACCCCTAGGTTTTTCTCATAGAAACTTTAATACAGAAATTTTAACACATTCTAATTATTCTCTTGGGCCATATGGCAGTGAATTTCATTGCACCCTGGAAGTGATGATGTCTTCTGCGCAGGCAAGAGCTCCCCTGCAGGGGGTGTTTTCTAGCATAGTATTTCAGCGCTGTTCCTCTTCTTTTCGCAGGTGGCATGTGGACAAGTTTCAGCGCAAGGCGCTGTTCTTATGGATGTGGTCTGATAAAGAAACTGTTTTTGCCAGAGGGTTTACTTGTGTATCTGTGCACTATAAATCACAGTGGGTTCACATTTGCAACACGTGTAGCAGTGTAAGTGTACAAAGCTTTCTACACATTGGATCCATCACGCCTACAGTTTAGCACTGACAAGAAGGGAGCGTTGCGGGGTGACAGACATGGTGAGGAATGATCTCACATCCTCCTTCTTCTTGTGGAAGTGTTAGAGTGCAAGGAAGAGTCCGCATCTAAATCCCACAGAAAATATTTCTGCAGGTGTAACTACCTGGTTCTTAATTTGGTACTGTTGCTCTTCTTTTGATTCCCAAAAACTTTGAAAACTTTGATGGAAATCAGATCAATAGCCCTTGTTTACTCAAGCGTTTCATATATTTCAGTCTCTTGTACGCTATGTTGTGTGAGCAGATTAAAAATACATATGTTAAGGGCAGTGTTGTTCATTGTCTTCCCCTTCTCAATTTCCTTGTGGGTAAGGAAGAGGGTATTTGAAGTCACATCTATGGCTGTGTCATCCTCAGATCCATGGTGTGATCCATCCATGAACTAGGCAGTATTGACAAGGGAATATAGTCATTAAAAGACGTGGATCACCTGTAACAGAAGAATAATTAAGCTATAATTGATAAAAATAATTGCATGATAGTAACATAATAAACAAGCGAACAAGCAAGGATTTTTGTCACCTTTCCAATCTCTTGCCTTGCTGTCCTCAGAAGCAGGGCTATAGAGTGAATCCTGCTCTCTGCAGTTTGCAATTTTCTTTTGTGTGTGCTTTTCAGGGAATAGTTTTTCCTCACAGGAATACAACTTCATGTCATTTTTTCACTACAGCTTTTTTCTCATTTACCTTTCACCTCAACCTTAGAGTGCAATGTAGGCAATGAGCTGTAGCTTTTACTGGACTGTTGGCTACATGAAAGCATAGGACAAATCATATTTGAAGTGGGATCACAGTGTGCGAGACTTACCAGTGCAAAACATGCAGAGTCTTGTCCTCATTCTTAGATGTTCAGTAGTTTACAATGGGGTAACATTTTTCATTCCTCTATGGACAGCTAGTGGCCACAAGATTACAGCTCTGGGTTTTGTATGTTATGTCACCTATAATCAAGTTTGTGGCATCCTAGCTTAAATTCCACAAAAAAAAAGCCCGTGTCCTTTCCACAGAAAAAACCTGTCTCCTTTGCAGTGGAGTCTTTTGCGAACTGGAGAGTCTGTAGAATTTTGAGAAAAAAAAATCAAATATTTTAAAAGACCAAAATCAGCATTAGTCCATCACCTCACTTGGAGAAGAATATTCTCAAAGTAGACAGACTAAGCAAAGAAAGATTTTTCCATTAATTGGTTCTAATCCAGAGGCATCAAGAATTTCTCTTTCCAACATCCAGCTTTTGGCACTTAACCTTGCTCAAAGGGGCGCTGAGAGGTAAAATGTCAAAGTGCTTTGTTAAGCCTGGTCTTGAATGGTGTATAATGGGATATTTAATGGTATACTCCTCCAGCCCCCATCTACTCCTTCCTTTGCAGGATCTGAGCAATGCTGTGTTGAAAATCTACAGCTCCGAAGAAAAAAAACCTGAATGAAAGATGAACCAGAGACTGTGGTGGGAACAGGTTATGTCCAAATATAGATATAAAAAATGATCCCAAGGCAAACTATGAGGCCTTTCCAAATTGATTGAAGGAGAAAGCTTTTTATTCAAATGGCAAACTAGAGTGTCAAGCTGATATATCAGAAGTCGAATCAGGCTAAAGGGAGAAAAGCAGAGCTGTAAAAGACAAGTGCTTGTAAATACCTTGACTACAAGAAAGTGTAAGAGGGTTAAGCAAACAACATTACAACAGTGTAAGCCAACAACCCTTTAAATGGTTCTTGAGGAGGTGGAGGCATGTGGAGAAGATGCAGGAATTTTAGAGGGGAACAGCCAAGACAGAAGCAATAGATAACTAGTTGATAATTAATTTTTGCTATACATACAGAAAAAATGTGTAGGTGGTGTAATGCTTTTCAGCTACTGGTCATGCAAAGAAATTGGAAGGATTTGAGGCCTTTACTCCAACTGAGAGAAAAGAAAATAATGTTCTTCGATCCCAGGCATTTTCAAGGGACTTTTTATTTATTTATTTCTGTTAAAACATATGCACACACACACAAATGCGAATTAAATACATGGATAACTGTGGCCACAGGCATATTTTACTGTAAGGCAGGAAATACAAAGAGATGGCTCCACAGTCTTGTGTCAAAAGTGTTACACTATAACTCTTTCCAAAACTTCTCAGGCCTCAGTTTCACCCTGTTCATTTTTATGCAGTGTAAAATACACCAAACTCTTCCCTCTTTCTAGCTGGAAAACTTGGGGGACAAAACACAAATTAATGTCTATCAGAGAGAAAACCCAAAGAAAGAAAAAAATGT